TCAGGAAGAACTGGGATATAATGCTCGTAGGGCCGCAGCCAGTCATTGAAGTACTCGTCGAAGACGGTGGACTGCAGATACGCCATCAGATCAATTGCCTCGAAAACTGTGTCGATGCACGAACCTTGAAGACAAGCGACCCAGACTTCAACAGTCCAAGGTACCTCCCAGAAAACGTGTTTCCGTCAACGTCAAGCAGATACTTGTACTGATACACCGTCTCCCGTGGGTCACCCGGGCCACGAATATCGTACTCCTCGATAATCGCGTCGCGGTCGCAGTCCGCCGTGGTACAGTGCGTCTCAGCAAACTGCGTCATCTTGGCATCGATGAGGTCCGAGTGGTTTCGAGCGATGTCTATCAGCTTGAAGCGCGGGAAGTGGCGGAAGTTCTGCCCGTAAATGTGTCCGCCATTCGACATTCCACGCCAATCTGGAGGGATTTGGCTGTCAGGAGACCGAGGGGTAGGGAATCAGAGAGGCTTACAAAGTTGCGATTTCTTATGATCCCATGGGATGTCGTCCGGATGGGCGAATTTCCCTGACCAGCCAGATTCGTCGTAGTAGTACTGCGTATATTGCAGTGGAAGATTAGCGCCATGAAATGACAAAATTGATGGTACCTGGCCGGGAAACAAGATATCCGAGAAACACGACGAGATTTTTGTCATGTGGGTAGAAATCCGACGTGAAGTCGGAACTTGAGCTCGAGAGCAGAACTAAGTTCGCATGTAGATTAAATCCGGCCCGCTCAAAAACGGCAGTCTACTTACAGGCGACATCGTCGTTAGCACTTGATGCAAAACCCACCGGGCTCTCCGGGACACCACATCCTTTGCGAGTTTTGAAGAAGTCAGAGGTAGGGTGAGGCGCAATCTCGAAGGGTGTCGTGTCCTTGATCTTGAGTGCCTCCGCTTTTGCACCAGGTTTGCGATAGTTGAATACTACCCGCGGTTCGTCTCGGCCATTCAGCATGAAGTTCATATCTGGAAGGAGTGCGGCAAACTACGTTTGCTGTCAGCGAGATTCACAGGAGTTTCGAGAAAGAGACAGGACACACCCGTCCAAGAGTCCGTGGCCAATCCCCATAATACGACGTCCCTTGATAATCAGGCATATGAACCTCGCCGTCCTTGATCGTGATTGTCGTCATTCCCCTAGGGTCCTTCAGCATCTGAAGTCGTAGCCATGAGGGAACAATATTTTGAATATTTTAGACCGGCGGCAACTCACCTTCGCCGATCCCAAATCAATCATCTTCTGGAAGAAAACGGGGTCCTCCTTTTCCAACTGATAGAATGGTTCGAAATCCCGACGAATCTGGTCGTACTCATCGATAAGGCATGAATGCTTCTTGGCGAAGTGGAACCAATGGTCGAAATTCCGAGGAGGCGGCCGGCGGGTTTTCAGAGAGTATCGCGCTCTGGCCTGCGCAAGTGTCCTTGATTGGCGCGCAAAGAGGGTTTCGATTCTGAGACGTGCGGCAGACGTATGGGGAGCTTCAGACGACACGGGAGGCTCAGTTCCTTCGGGCACATGAATTTGCTCCCCAGAACTCGACACAATTCCATCGGCCGGCGATACATCTCCATGGATAACAGTCACGGCCAGTCGGCGCTCTGCTATGATGGCGACCGCGACCGACATAGCCAGAATCCCGAAAATAGTGACTAGCAGAAGGCGATGTCTCCAGCCCCAGGATTCCGAGTGCTTTAGGGGTTGGGTATGATACAGACCCTGGCCAGCTTCGTCATCTGCCTCACCTTTGGAGAATGTAGAAGAAAGGAGCGGAGTTCGTGGGTCACGGCCGTTTGCCTCGGAAGGCAACCGCGTATAAGATTGAGGAACACCAACAAGAGAGGAAAGAGGCGACATCGTATCCTGCAAAAGAGCCAGATCTACTGGATTGAGGGCTGTGATGAGACAGACCGGCTGCTAAGTGGGTAATCTCGTCATAGAGCAGCTTTTATTGTCCACGGAAACTGAGGGAGATCATGATAGCATCAGCGACACCGAGTGTTACCCCGCCAACGTTCTCAGGCAATGACGACCCAGAATAACCACATACTACGGGAATGCAACGAGCATCATACAACAGCGCCGTATGTAAGGCCGCCCAACTCCGAGTCAGTTATGTTCAATCTGGCAGCCTCGGAGACAGCATAGCCGTCACTACATCGCAACCGTCACGGTGACCCTTTGAGTATCTTAAGCAAGTTCAAGTCCATGCGGTTTCGCTGAGAGTCATTCGCAGATACCTAGATCGTTGGACAAGCCCAAAGTGCAGAAATCAAGCGAGAGTCAGCTTGGAAGTCAAGGGAGATGATTCGATCCCATCAATGATCTTGCCGGTAAATGCCGGCGATCCTGGAGGAAACCACATGTTCTCGTTCTCGTCGGTTAAAATTCATCACGGTACCAGTGATATTTCCTCTAACTGCCCGACCAAAATGTCTATATATTCTAAGTCATATCCTGAGCATATGACTGCAACCGTGCCCATTCCAGCAGCACAGCAAAGAAATAACAGTCATTCTGATCGTCCGTTATGACCTTTCGCGAGAAATGAAGCCCCATCTGTTGGATTAAGCGCGCTTCCTCCTGGTGGGTGTTGGCCCATTCGATCTTTTCGATGAGGTCAGAAAGATCGGGCAGCACTGGGATATAGTGCTCATAGGGTTTCAGCCAGTCGTTGAAGTACTCTTCGAAAACGGTTGACTGAAGGGAGAAAATTATGGGAAATGGACAAAAACTAAGGGAGTCGAACCTTAAAGACCAAGGAACCGGAACGCAACAGGCCAAGATACCGCCCAGAGAATGTCGTGCCGTCGACGTCGATCGCGTACTTGTACCCGTATATATCTTCCCTTGACTGCCCGTCACCGGTGATGTTGTACTCCTTTATCACAGCATCGCGGTCGCAACCCTCCAAGCAGAGGGTTTCAGCAAATCTCGTGATCGCTACATCCATGAGGTCCGGGTGTTCACGGCCCATATCTGCGAGTTTGAAGCGCGGAAATTGATGGTAATTGTGGCCAATAATCTGTCCACCATTGGACATGCCACGCCAGTCTAGAAAGAGACCGTTATTGAAGTGTGTATTTGATGGGGGTCAACGTACAAATCTGAGACCTCTTTTCTTCCCATGGTACATTGTCCGGGTATGCGAACTTCCCCGACCACCATGATTGATCGTAATAGTACTGGTATAATGTCAGCGCTTCGGTATCATACAAACGATGTTAAGGCACCTCGGTTGGAAATAAAATGTCTGAAAAACATGGCGAGATTTTGGCCATGCTAATCAGCGGATAAAGATCAGTGGTGAACCCGGACTTGGCGCTCGAGATCAGGACTGTCACAGGATTAAGGACAATGAGAGCATTCCCGAGACACCACTCACAGGCAGTATCGTTGTTGATATTGGACGTGAATCCTGGAACGGGCTCAGGGATAATACATCCACTATGATGTTTGAAGAAATCGGCCGTCGGTCGCGGAGCGATTTCGAATGGAGTCAGATCATTCAGCGATAATGCCTTGGTCCGTGCACTGGGAGCTTGGTGGTTGAAAACAACGCGGGGCTCGTCGCGGGAGTTCAACAAGAATTTCATGTCCGGGAGACCTGCGGCAAACTGAATCCATTAGTTGCAGCGATGGTCAACGGAGAAAAGCACCCACCCTCCCGAGCGTTATCGGCCATTCCGATATATGCTACTTCCGGGCCGGTTATGTGAACTTCGCCGTCCTTGATCTCAACAACTGCTATTTCCACGGGGTTGTGCTCGATCTACGCCGACAGTCAGAGTTTCCATGGAAACGGGGACTTTCTTACCACAGCTGAACCTCGGTCCACCATCTCCTGGAAGCGTGTCGGATATTCCTTGGCCAATTGATAGAAGGGCTCGAAATCTCGATGTATCTGGTCGTATTCATCTATAAGACACGATTTTTCCTGAGCGAACAGAAACCATCGCTCGTAATTAGGAGGGGGAGAGCGACGTGTCTTCAGCGTATATCGAGCCATAGCCTGCTCCAGGGTCTTGGACTGCCTTGCATAGAGTGCATCGATGCTGAGCAACGATAGCCCTTCGGGATCGGCGGGGTCCACGTCGGCTGGTGCCTCTTGCGTGTTGGAATTGTCAGGCTTTGGGGCTTGAGCTTGGTTAGTAACATCTTCACCAAAAATTGAGGCAGTCGCACTAGGGATTTGGCGACGAGCAAGAATGGCGATGATCGACGAACCCGCCATCAACCCAAGGACCGTCAGAAGTATAATCCGATGCCGCTGAACCCAGTTAACGTGCCAGCGGCGACCCCGTAGGTTTCGGAGGTCATAATGGTCATCGGGATCCCTCTCGCGAAAGGTGGAGGAGAGCAAAGGTGTTCGAGGATCTTCCTTCCCGTAGCCCGTAGAAGGAGCCTGTCCTCGGGGAACATGGTTGAGGTATGGGAAGTGGGACATCTCGGTCGGATACAGACCAGCTGTTGGTGAACGCCATCTCACAAGGGTAGGCGATCCCAGATAAATAGCTAGACACGTGAAGGCAACGCCCGCACAGGAACGACTCAAGGAGCATCGCCAAGTGGAGCAGTTCGGAGGTTGCGTAGCCAAGGGTTGGCATCGCGATAAGATGATTAGTTGGCGGCCTCACTAGTATCGGTCTGGGGTCCTGGTCTCATAGTCCTCTGGGAATCCGGCTGGATCGGAGATCGCGACCGTCTGATGATGTAGTTCACGTACCGCAATGTGACGAGCGCTTCGCCAACGCCAGACCTCAAATATGAAACTCCCCTTGAATTTATCAAGCGAGTGCAGATGCACTAGACATGAGTCCCCAAGAGTCTTCGCCGGGACACGAGAGTTCGAAACGACCACAATTTCCATTGAACATTGCCGATATCGAGGTAGATTGAGAGGAAGGATAGGTGATGCGACTGAAAAGTTGAAACTGATATGCTGGCTGTGGATGCACAGAATGCTGCAAGAAACCTGTTGTCGGTCCGATGGTGTAGTTGGTTATCACATCTGCTTCACACGTGATATGTGTCGCAGGCGGTCCTCGGTTCGATCCCGGGTCGGATCACTTTTGCTGGTTGCCCCTTTCATCTACTTTTTTCTACTTTTTGCGACTTGTCTCTTTTTTTTTGCCCCGTTGATCTCATTTACTTTGATTATGCACAGGCGGTCCTCAGTTTGAGCCTGAGTTGGATCACTTTTTCTGTTTTCCTCCTAGTTTTTTTACCCTGTACCCCTCAACCACCATAGGCATTGCTATCCTCATGTCCACACAGGACATTTCAAGACACAAAACTCATTCAAATTGCTTTACTTAACAATTCAGATGGGTTTCTCACTGTATCTCGGCAACATACAATTAGAGAATAAAGACCACAATGTCAGCATCTGCCCACTTCTCTTGGGCACCATGGTGTGCATAGTAAGAGGCCAAGTGGTAAGGCAGCAAATGATTTGAGTAGTAATTGGAACCAGGGGAACCAGTCAACAGAGTCTGGGTGTCAGCACATGTGTTCAAATCTTGAAGACTCAATTTAAATGCGGCCAACCAAGTCCTTGGCCAAGCCCAACTCTCAACATTCCCTGTTGTAAGCCACAAACTGCAAACCAAGCAACTGCCAGTAGCTGGATTGTGAGAAGACAGTACTAGTGCATGGATGTGGCAGACACTGAATAAAGCTATATGTTTACAGCTGTTGCCGAAAAGCTTGAGAAAATCAATTTTTTTGGTGTGTGTTCAACTTTTGATGGAGTGATAGTGATTACCGTGTTTAGAAATCAGTCCGACGGACCAGTCAGGCCATGTCTCCAAATTTGGACAGGTCATAGGGGCAAGCCATGACACCGTGCTGCTAACCTTGACAAGTTTATAGCACAGCATCATCGTGCAATCAATTGCCAACTCCCATGGTCTACCGCCACATCAGTGACGAGATAAAGCAGCGGGCACTCTGGCTATTGGATGCCGACTATCTCACTGAGGAGGTCTACAAGATCCTCGATGTCTCCATGGCTAGTGTTTACCGCTGGAAGGAGAATTACGAGACCCACAGCAGTGTCAGGCCCCCATCAAACCCTGTTCCAGGCTGCCCTCATATTTTGAATGCTGCCAAACCCGTGACTTGTTCACCTTACTTGCCGAGGCTCCTGAGATGTATCTCGATGAGATCACGGATTGGATTGCAGTTACACAGGACGAGGGGATCTCACGCACTGCCGTCCACACTCTTATCTGGGATACTGGACTTTCATACAAACTTCTCCGACATGCGGCAACAGAGCACGATGATGTGGCTCGCGCTGAGTGGAAACAGCTCACCCAGACCAGTTTTATCTCATCGATGATTGTGACCACAGACAAGTCAAGCAAGGACGAGAGGACAATATTCCGCAAGCGTGGGCGTGCTCCTTGTGGCCACTGTGCTGAAATTGAGGCAAATTTTGTACGCGGAGAACGCTACAGCATTCTCGCTGCTATCACAATTGATGGATACCTGGGTACACAGATCATATCGGGATCTGTGGACAGCGATGAATTTTTTGACTTCATTGTCAATGATATTGTATGTATGTCAATTCCATCACAGGATCAATCTGACAACTGCACAAAGCTCCCGAAAATGAATGCATTTCCTAACGACAAGAGTGTTTTGATTCTCGATAACTGTGCAATCCACAAGAGCAAGTATCTGCAGGATGCGGTCGAGGCACAAGGTATTTCCACACCACTGCCAACCTTTCAGGAAAGCTGATGTAGTGTTAGGCTCAATTCTCCTTTTCCTGCCGCCCTATTCTCCGGACTTCAACCCTATTGAGGAGAGTTTTAGTAAACAGTGATACACCCGAAGTAGATTTGCTAGAAGCATGTGGTGTGGTAACAGCTGAAAGTGCACAAGGTTGGTTTAGACATTCGGGATTTCTTGATGGGCCAAATGTACTGTAGAAAATCACACAGTTTTATATACAACGAAAGATAAATTAGAGTCGTAAAGATGGGTACAAAGGGGTAAAAGCACGCAGGTGTACAATGAGATATAACAAGACAAACTATAGTGGAACTGTAAGGTAGTGCAGACAATTAGCGGTCACAAAACATAGGTAGGAAAGGGGTATGGATACAGGTACTCAGTTCAAGCGCAAAGCAGCCTTGTATTTGTGGTAGTACTTGACAATGCGGGCTGCAGTGAATTGAGCAATATCCGCCGAAGTCCACTGAGCTTCCGTGATAACTGTGATGTCATCTCCGATTTCAAAACCGAGTTTCTGAAGCAGAGGTTTCAATCCGGGTGTTGTGAATGACGATCAAAGGACTGGTAGTTCGGAAACAGAGGTGGATATGGCATGGGAGGAAAGCCGGGGTGACCGGGCATGGGAGGTGGGTGCGCATATGGATTTTGCCAAAAGGGGAACTGAGGCTGGGTAGGATGCGAGGCAGGCGTCGACGGGATCATTGGAGGTGCGGAACTTCCAGCTGCAGGAGGTGTGGAACCACCAGCTGCTGCCGGACCAGCAGCCTTTTTGATGGCTTTTTTGGCAGTGAAAAGATTCGAGGCCATTGGAGCCTTGATTAAACTTGTGGCTTTCCTTTGCTGCGGCACTCATTACACACGGCATTATAAAACACAGAACAAGAGATGCTTACAATGGCTGCTGCCCACATGATCTTCCTATTGCGATCCAATTCAAAATGAAGATTGGTGAGCCGGTCATGGAAGCAGGAGATCATGGGACGCTCTGAGCAGACACCAGGCCGTGAGCTTCTCCATCACTTCCTCAAGGCCTCGTCGAAAGGGACCTAAAATATATAATAGTGAGACTCATTCCGGTGCACTGAGAAAGGGAAGGGATTGCCTTTTTTTTGGGTCCATCATCGCCAGACTCGTAGTCGTCAACACTCCGGAGCACAGAGCTTGGGCCAGCATAAGGCTCGGACCAAGACTGGTCATGAATAAATTAGTGCGAGCAAAGAATGCCAGTTACATGAACTGGACATACCATGTGCTGCGTGGCAGGCTTCTTCACCGGTGCGTCCATCTTGACAATGATGGAATCCCAGATGCACCTTTTGGAGGTGAATTGATGTGTTTGAGCATAGACTTGAGACCGTCTTCATCACGCAGCGGAACAAACTGGGAATTAGCGGGCTTCATCCAGCACCATTAAACAGATGAAGTGATGAGAAATGGGACCTCCGTGCCCACAGCCTTTGCAAATTTCTCCATCAGCCCGTCATAATCCACGCCAACATTGGCTGAAATGGGCCCAATTTGACGGGCTCTGGCTTGGCAGTTCTGCCTTTCCCATTTCTACCAGTCCGCTTCTTTGCCTGAGGGAAAACATGGAGGACAATCTCGAACTCCTTCAGATCATCATCCGCGGAATCCTCATCCACAGGAGCCACCTTGACAGCAGGCTTACGCCTGTGATGTGTCGCCAAGGGTTTTGGCTCTGCAGTGGCAGAAAACATGCCCAGAGTGGATTCCCATGCCAGATGTGGGGGAGAATCAGTATCATTGACAGGAAATGCCATCTGCTGAGGTGGGCCAGGAAACAGAGATGCAGGGAACACATCTGAGTCCAAAGGGGAATTTTGTGGGGAAATATGTAAGGACAGAAGCAGTGAAAGGTGGGATCAAAGGAGAGACTGTTTGGGTCAAAAGAAAGACAGTTATAACCTGGTGGTACTGTGAGTGCCTTGGCCGCAGGCCAGTGAGAATAATACATACTAAAGTCCGCTTCTTGCGACTCAATCGGGGTGAGCGGACGCAATCTCGGTGGGACTGGGCTGCTTGACAGATCAACTGGATCAGCTGCCAGTTCATACTGAGGCGGAGGAGCCCCCGAGCCTCGTAGACTGGTGGTGGGGAGCAGGCAGGTGCGCAGCGGGGGCCGACATTGAAGAAAGACAAAAAATTTAGCGGTAATGAAGCGCGGCCAGTGGACTTACTTCTAAACAAGGTAATTGCTATCACTCTATCAAAAGTTGAACACATGCCAAAAGATTTTGATTTTCTCAAGCTTTTCGGAAACAGCCGTAACTACATATTCAGAAAAATCAGCCCTTCTTGGTGAGGAGAGTAGTGTCTTTGACACTGTAAGGAGTCTGTGTTGCCCCTTTTGTCCTTGCACAGCTCGAACTGCTTCTCCAGCCACCATTGTTTGAATAAAACATTGGGCACCAGCAGAACAGTATGTGAAGAAAGTTGTACCCTGCTGTCCGTCTCACCCCATCATCATGCAACACAATTGGCATGTATCCCAGCACCTCACGAGCAAGCCAAATGTCATATGTCTGTGTCACACACATGAAGCGTGTTTTGCACCACAGCTGACTTGGCTGTCCTTGTAGGTTTGAGAAAATATCCCCGAGACCCGCTGGAGAGCACTGGGGGTCTCTGGGGCTGGAGATGAGCCAACGGGGGTCGCAGCAGGAGGCTGGTCGGTTTGCTTTGTGGCGGCAGAGGTGGCACGCAGTGGTAATTAGGACAATGTAATGTGTAGAATAGCTAGCAGAAATATTTTTATTTTTACTTTCTTAATGTCCCTTGATGAGTCTCAAAAACCTCTCAACTTATCTTGTTGGTCCTCTGTTTGGCTCTATTTGCCATCAAGACAAAACAAGCTATGTCCAAATTGGCAAGGCACATTAAGGAACTGTCAAATTCCTCAATCTGCCTCGTTGTGGCTCAATATTTATAGCTGCCATTCTCACTGGGGTTTATCCTGGACCTCATCTGCAGCTTTCATGATGCAGGATCAGCTGCATGCACATTCTCCATCCCTGCTCCACCATCAACCACAAACCCTCTCTCCAATACTTCTCTAGCAACTTTCACTGACCACCGGACTTGGCTGCATGTCAACAGACATGGAATCTACTTAGCCTCAGACCAGACTGTGGTTGACATCCCAATTTGGGAGCCCTGTCATGACAGTCTGGGCCAATGTCAGCCAAATAGCTGTATTTCTGTGCTGTGGATTCTCAAAATTTGAGGTTCACATTCAGGCATCTCTTCTCCTTTTCCTGTCAAACTTTGGAGAGAGATATGCTTTAGAATATGATCTGGA